GTGGGTTCAGGCGTTTTTAACAATGCGTTCTTAGGGGGTCTCGCAAGGTTCAGCCCTCGGCCCCGTTCTCTTCACTTTATAACTTAAGGACTTATCTGATGAGCTGAAACTACCACCCCTGTTTGCGGGTGACTTAAATTTTGGTTCCCAATTAAAGATCCGAGTATTGAACTGAGTCTACAAAAGGCTCCGGATAGACTTTGGGACTGATCCTTTTGTAGCAGTTGCCCGTGAGTTACGCGCGATGTTCAGTCTTATGTACATGACCAAATGACCCACCGACACGTTATTTCCTTGGTGGCAACGAAGTGCCGCGGGTGCAACTTCAAACTGACCTAGAATTCTAGGTATCACGCGACTTTAAATCTAGGGAACATTGGACGGTAGCTAATCGCAAAGGATACGGCATGTTGTGGATGACCCGGATGATCATGAAGACTAAAGTGTTCATTAGACTATTTTCGGTTTTTGCAAGGCCGCACTTGGAATAAGAAAAAGGTATCAGCAGTTCACCGATACGCAGCATCAACGTTTCGCTACCTCGCAGCCACCACCGGTCGAACATGTAGTAAGGATACAGCGAGGGTCGCATTGCCCCTACGCAGACTCAAACACGCGCCGCCAGATTACAAGTTTGTTAACTTTAGGCGACGGGTCATCAGAATCATCACCAACAGCAGTACATCAGCCATTTGAACTGATGCTTCGCTGTCGTAAAAACATAACGACCCATGAAATAAAGGATAAGAAGAGGGAAAGAAGGGAGAATTACCTGAAAACCTTAATGCCCTAAGCAAACATTCAGGCTCAAGGCGCTTACACCTTGTGTAGACAATGTACCTTCACAAACAGCTGGCTATCGTGTAAAGATAATGCGGCATCAGCGAGACAACATCCTTGCGGCTTTCACTGCCCCGCATCATAACCAGCCATTACCCCACAGATACCAGCACCGAACACTTTAAACAGGCATTTCGATAAGGAGAAGGCATCAGATGCGTCACTGGTTTCTGCTCCGAGCCATGTTCTGTAAAGTCTCGAGCCAAGCACAAGGTGAGTCACGTAGACTCCAACCCGGAAGGCGGGACGGACCAACGGCACCCAGTTTGGTCGTCAGTGACTTCATTTCCCGCTGCCAAGTCAACTTCTGTCCACCTCGAGCCTTGCGCCATCCTACACCTGGTAGACTGAACTAGGCCCTCCTAGGTAAGCGGTGACAAGGTATGCGTAGCACGTGCCCGAGCCAACGCAACTTATTCAGTGCTATCTGTTGTTCTAGGGACCTATCATGATTATCACCATGCAGTCCTCGCCCACGCACATCATCGTTGCGGACACGCTGGTGACATCCGACACCAGCAATGCTTCGCAAACAACGATGATCAAAGACTTGAAGGCGCCTCAGATCTTCAGACTGAAGGGGCCAAGTCTCACTGCCATAGAGCCGAACGGCCCTCACTGTGGCCTTGTATACACGGCCTTTCAGACGGAGGGAAACTCCCTTCTGCCGCCAAAGATGCCGCACGTTCAAGAAGATAGCTCTGGCTTTTGCAATGCGTGAGCTGACGTCAGTTTCTATGCGGCCATCATTGCTGACGTAGCTGCCAAGATAAATAAAATGATCAACCACCTCGAGTTCCTCGTTAGCAAGCGCCAAGGGGTCATCAAGTGGCTGGTGATCCTGTAGCAAAAGTTTGCACATTGAAGATGTGAAGTGCATATCAAATAATGGGACTACTATGAATAGGCTATTCAGGGTTGATTGGGCCGCCCCAACGTAGACCCTGACGCGGCCTGTAGTGTTCGAGTATAGAGCACAAAGGATGTTCACATATTTCGTGAAAACACCTTTCCGCGCAAGGATTTCGAACAGAATCGATCGATCGACTAAATCAACGCACTCTTGAAATCGAGGAGCACACCTTTCGTCGGGCTGCGGTATGCGTGCCGCTGCTATGGCACCCGCCGCAAAGTGAATATATGGTCTATACAGCCATGCCCTGGGCGGAACTCGGCTTCCTCTTTCCTAATCAGAGCTTCCCGTTCTGCAGTGAAACGATGAACGATAATCAAGGCCAATAATTTTGTCACAACTGGCGTTAGGCTAATAACTCTGTGGTTAGAACAGTCTATGCGACTTCCCTTCTTGTATATTGCCCCTATAATCGATTCGCCCCAATTAGCCGGAACACTTCCTTCCAGATACGTTCGAATAAGCTCAGTGCTTTGCAGAAGTCCTCACCTCCATCATTAAATAGTGCAGGTGGTAGGGCATCCGGGCAGCGGCACGAAAACGATTAAGGGCTGTGATCGCGTTTCGGACCTCGGCCTCCGACGGAGGCTCTAAACTAACCGTCCATGGCTCGGCCTGCATCACCTGAGTAGGAAGAGATCCGGGAGCAGGGGGCCAGCTGAACTGGGCTTGAAAGTGTTCCGCCCAAAGAGCCATACGGCACTCCTTATTGTGTATCAGTGCACCCGCGCGGTCTCTGATTGTTTCACTGACGTCTGGTTTCTTGGGAACAGTGGTGCGGGTCAGCTGGAAGAGCTTGCGAGAATTGCCTACTGCACCTGTCTCCTCTATTTCTTGAGCACTACTGGTCCACCAGGCTTCCTTGTCAGCATATAGGCTCCATTTTAGTTCGCGCCTAATAGCCTGACTGGTCGCATTCTGCTCAGAGCCAGCAAGGAGGTTTCTTCTAGATTCTTACAGGTTCACCGATCTCTCGGATATCCAGTGACTGGTGCGGCGACCATTGATAGCGCCACAAGTAGATGCACATACGTCGTGAATGGCGGCCGAGATCCCATTCCACTGAAGTTCGGTGTCAGTAGAACAAGCCAGTTCGGTATGCAGTGAGCCTTGATAGTCTTGCCCGAGAGCTGAGACAATGTCTCAGTTGCCAATGGGAGGAGATGATTGGTGCGCATCTCGGTAACATTCATGGAAAAACGACAGCCTACCAAAGCATGATCAGAGTAGACGCAGATACTCCAGTACGAGCTGCAATCCAGAATGGAACCACGCCATCTATAACTTATGGCTATGTGATCAATTTCGGTCCGTCGCTAGCCAGCTACAGGAGAACGCCAAGTGGCACTTCGGCGCCCACTGTGCCTAAAAGCAGAACTACTAAGAAACAACTGGTGCTCCGTACACAGTTGCAGCAGACGCTTGCCGTTGTCAGTCCGTTCGGAGTTAAGCCTATAATTATCACCCAGCTGAGCTTCTGAAGAGCTAAGACGCCCTACCTGTGCGTTCATATCCCCCGCAATACTATAATAGCTGAACTAGTAGCCATGCGTAGTAGCGCGTTCAGTTCGTCACAGAATGTGTCCCTGACAACAACTGAACTGCAGTCGGTGGGAGCATAAGCGGAAATCACAAACAAACAGCACGTTGAACTACTTCGTGAATCAACCTTAGCTGATGTCGTCAAACGGCTGTTCACCGGAATCCAATCAACCAACAATGGCACAGCGTTGGAGCTTAGAAGGATAGCTACACCATCTTAACCCGTGAGTGCCGCATCGGCGTCTCCGGATGCGTGCAACCAATATCGAGAGGATAAGCCGGGTGCAGTCAATTCAACAACCCCGTTAGGGTCATTGGTCCTAGTTTCGGACACACAACACACATCAATACCCAGTGTGTCCAAGGTGCGTGCGAGTGCAGCCTGTTGACCCGTTCGGCTTAGAGTGCGGACGTTGAATGTGGCCATGGAAACGGGATAGCGTGGCCTTATAAGGACTTCTGCCGATAGGTGTCCGGTGGGTATCGCGAGGTGGCTGCACATGGCTTTACTCCAGTGGCACTTCGCTTGCTGTCAATTAAGCTGGGAATTATAGAAGAAATATGAGTAATGGGGGTCGGGATGGGAGTAAGAGAAACAGGTGGAGAAGAAAGAAGGGAGGCGCCAGCAGTAGCATGTTTTTGCTTCTCCGCCCTGCTGTATGCAGCAGATAAGGCGACCAATGATAATCTGCGCGAAGGCCGATGCAGGATGAAGTTTATATTTGAAGAAAATGTCATGGTTGCATGTGGGCTGAGATACTGCTAGGGCGCCCAGACCTAGACAGGAGGCTGCGGGTCGCACTTGGAATACTGCGTACAGGCTTATCCTCCATGCCTCGTTCGCGACAGGATGGCAGTTGTACGGTTCTTGCAGTCTGGCACGAAAAACGTGCATGGATTAGAGAAGCTGTCGTATCCTGAAAGAGTTGGATATGTTTTCCATGTATTACAGCGATTTTTGGGCGAACTGGTCTGCGAATATTGCATACTAATGAGTCATATTGGTCTTGATTTAACTGTACTTAACCGCCAAAATCCAGTGTCAACTCTTCGTGGCCAATCCAATCTGACTGGATTAGGGCAGCTTTTCGGTTATAGGTTAATGGAACGCGCTGCCTGCAGTGGTATGATGGCACCGACGATGTAAGTTTGTATATCGACTTGGTGCCCTTGGTCTACAGTCTAAAACCTTCCTCTTCATACACTGAGCACTTCCTCCTCTATGGCCGCCAACTCTTCATTTTCACTTGCATCTCAAGCAATTTGATGGGCTTGTGTCCCCCCTTGGTTGCGTCCGTTTACTTTTATTCACGTGAGTGGTACAGCGGGAACTGCTAGTGCTGGGCACGTGGCACTGTTAGATTGACCATGTTAGTCGAATGTGTTGATTTGGCTCGGCTTTGGCAGATCACTGCATCGCACTCCCTGTTGGTACGACGTTTTCGAAAATGGAACATGCACGTGATCATCCTACTGTGCCGGTCCCACTTGAACTGAACAGAATCGCAGTTGACAGTACATGTCTCGTCAAAATTCAAAACATTAGATTAGTTGCACCTGTGATCCAGATCCGTGGACACTACGCTGTTTGCATGTCGATGGCCTCATTTAGTTCCAGCTAGAAAGAGACGAAACAGATAACCTCAAACCTTTGAACGAAATACGTGGGCCTTGATAGTTGCAACTTCACGCAAAATGGGAATACCTGTTCGACTGGGGAGACGTCTGGATGTCAGGGTTGACCAACTTATTTCCAGAATCTATGTTGCGAACTAACGATGTGATTGAATGAAACGTGTAACAAACCAACGCATTCAAATTCTATTGATTTCGTTTTGTCTTTGAATCCAGAAACTGTTGAAAAATCGGCAAGAGAGAAAGAGGAAGAACCGTAGACTAACAGGTAAAAGATGACAGTAAACAACGTACGGATTGCATTTCTCAAGCCTCTGAAATCAATGCAAAAGGAAGTGAAAGACTCGTCAATGTAAATCTTCCAAAGCTGTTTTAGGTTCTGGGTGTCCCATAATATGCATAAGCCATTAGAATGAAGCGCGACGAGTAAATCCTGGGAAATGGTTTGATCCTCGATCCAACGCAAATCTGAAGAGGTAAAGAGATAAAGACACCTACCTGACACCGGAGGCCCAGACTCACGGAATTCAGCGATAATACTGGCACGGGCGACATCCCACACAATTATTGTGCCGTTTTTGTCGACACTAGCCAGGCGGAGAAATACCCTAGTTTTGTGATCATCGTAATCTCTTTCCGGAGCCCAACGGACCTAAAGAATACTTATTCAAGCCGTACAACTCACGAAAGTAATGAGGGTTCTATGACCTTGAAGAGATTGAACGTTCTAAAAGTAAACCGTATAGAATAGGAACAAACGCGTGCAGTTTTTGGATCAATTATGATAACTGTGGTATAGCAACCACATGCAACAATTCCTTTCCAACCACTAAGTATTAAGGCTAATACAGTAATTACTAGTCAATCCCGCCTGCGGCAATGCCGGAAGTTACCAGAGAAACCACCCACGGACGCATCCACAGATGTAATATTCCTTCGGTCCGGCGTTCTGAGCTCTTCCGTGTCCAAGTAGTGTGACAAGCTGCAATGCAAAATAAATACCCCGTAGACGGCTGTACGCTCGAGCCGTCTAGTAAGAGGCCGATGTAAAGGAAGCAGCTAAGGAAGCACGGAAGAGGAAAGGAAGGGTGCCGGAGAGGAATATGAGGGTAATGATAACAGGAAGCAAAACCGATCGACCTCTTACCTGTCAACGTGTTACCGTGACGCCCGCGGACCGGCTACATTATCCCCCCCTTAGCAGGCGCAGTCCTCAGTGCCCATAATGGCCCATACCGGCATCAATTTATGTACCTGCAAGAGGCATTGAACGCGGTATAGTAGGCTCGGGAGATTCAACGACAAGCAGCACGATAGTAGAAAGTTAATTATTGCCTCAATGGGCTACAATCTAGCTAGGGTGGACTGCTGTCGTGAACTGGCAGGGTCGCCAAATTTGTAATATTCCTTCGGTCCGGCGTTCTGAGCTCTTCCGTGTCCAAGTAGTGTGACAAGCTGCAATGCAAAATAAATACCCCGTAGACGGCTGTACACTCGAGCCGTCTAGTAAGAGGCCGATGTAAAGGAAGCAGCTAAGGAAGCACGGAAGAGGAAAGGAAGGGTGCCGGAGAGGAATATGAGGGTAATGATAACAGGAAGCAAAACCGATCGACCTCTTACCTGTCAACGTGTTACCGTGACGCCCGCGGACCGGCTACATTATCCCCCCCTTAGCAGGCGCTGTCCTCAGCGCCGATAATGGCCCATACCGGCATCAATTTATGTACCTGCAAGAGGCATTGAACGCGGTATAGTAGGCTCGGGAGATTCAACGACAAGCAGCACGATAGTAGAAAGTTAATTATTGCCTCAAGGGTTACAATCTAGCTAGGGTGGATTGCTGTCGTGAACTGACAGGGTCGCCAAATTTGTAAATTCCTTTGGTCCGACGTTCTGGGCTCTTCCGTGTCCAAGGAGTGTGACAAGCTGCAATGCAAAATAAATACCCCGTAGACGGCTGTACACTCGAGCCGTCTAGTAAGAGGCCGATGTAAAGGAAGCAGCTAAGGAAGCACGGAAGAGGAAAGGAAGGGTGCCGGAGAGGAATATGAGGGTAATGATAACAGGAAGCAAAACCGATCGACCTCTTACCTGTCAACGTGTTACCGTGACGCCCGCGGACCGGCTACACAGAAAAACGCCCGACCTTGGGATCGGAGACCTAGAATTCTAGGTCAAAGTTAACCTGACTCAAGGTCTGGTAAAGCTAAAATCCAAGGCAAGATAGGAATATGTCAAATGACCATCCTGCTTATTGTACTGTCAATCTGATTGCATAATATATGCTGATGATTCGGAGCTGTGGCAAGAAGTGTCTAGGCCTGAATTTGCTGACCGACTCCAGACCATGCCAGGCCGGTTGCATTGCTAGTCAGTGCAGTGGCGACTACACTAACTATGCTACGTGTTCTGTCCTCCCAATTGGTGCTTCGGACCCCTTTGCTGTGGAACACATTGGGGGCTTCCTTCTCAGGCGAGGTCTTGAAGTCGGCCGTTGCACTTCTCCCTGAACATCATTTTCCATTACCTACTGTATATGTCTCAGTATTCATAGAGTTCATAGAGTTGTAGAAAGCAGAAGGGAAGACCCGTGTCAGCTCCATCACCCCCCGTTCATTGGCTGGATGACCTGTCGATGCTAAACTGTGTTCTCCGAGGGATTGTTGCAGCTGCAGCAAAAACAGCGGAATCCAGGCATGCTCAGCATGTACTTGTCCAATCGTTCTTTAAAACATTCCTCTGTCTGGGCACTTACCACACATTCAGGAAGATTGTTCCACTCATTCACAACCCGTGTGGATAACGCGATATCGGACCGGATATGGTTCCGCCGAGGTTTAAAAGTTTCAAGCTGTGGCCCCGTGTTGAACAATCTGTGTTGAGCTGGAAGAACTGCAGCACCTCCTTCCCCAAATCGCCCCTTAAAATGCGTCTAGTATAAATCAGATCACCACGGCGACGGCGGTAGTCCAGAGTAAATAAGTTCATACATTGGAGACGAAGGGGATAAGGTAAAACACGTAGCATAGACACAGACTTGGATCCGCGCCTCTGAACCTTCTCAATCAACTCACATTCAAATTTCGTGAGTGGGTGTATGGCAGGTAGGCCGTATTCCAGTATTGGACGAACGTGGGAGGAAAACAGGAGCCTGAAGTTCTGCGGAGTCAATTTGTAAAACGACCTTCGTATGGCACAGAGCATCCTGGTGGCAGATGCTACCTTCCGCAACGTGTCCTGGGTTGTTCTTAGGTCTGGAGAAATAAGTACACCCAAATCCTTCTCACCAACCACATTCTTCAACAGAAAACCACCGATGTGGTAAGCACCGAAAGGTTCCTGATCACCGATCGGGAGAACACAGCACTTATCACGATTGATAGGCATTTGCCACTTGACCGACCAATCGTGCAGCAGATCGAGCGTCAGCTGCAACCTGTCAGCATCTTCAAGCCTGGATACTTCCGACCAAAGTTTAAGATCATCAGCATAGATCAAGCAGTCGATTTGGAGCACCTCCGGGAGATCGTTGATAAAGATTTTGAATAGTTCGGGACCAAGTACGGAGCCTTGTGGAACCCCACTGGTCATAAGAACAGGACCAGAGTCAACTTCGTTAACTCTCACCTTCATACTACGGTTATCTAGGAAATCCGCGATCCAGGCGAGCAATTTACCAGCGATGCCAATCTGTCGAAGTTTGATAAGAAGTCGCTTGTGTGGAACCCTATCAAACACCCTGCTAAAATCCACAAAAACTACATCAAGTCGATGACCAGCATCCACTGACTGCGCCCATTTTTCTGAGGCAACAAGCAGATTGGTAATGCAAGAGCGTGCCCTCCGAAATCCGTGCTGAGCAGGAGAGATGACGTCCAATTTCTCAAGGTGAAGATGTAAGGCCTGTTTCAAAATCCTTTCCATGGTTTTACAGAGGATTGATGACAGGCAAATCGGTCGGTAGTTCACTGGATCTTGGCGATTCCCACCTTTATACATGGGTTTCACATTTGCTTTCCATTTAGGTGGGAGACGACCTGTTTCAAGTGAGCTACGAAAAACTTGACTAATTGGTGCAGCAATGAACTCCGCCACCTCTTTGAGGAACAAGGGATGTAAGCCATCGGGACCCGGTGAAGAACTCGAGTTCAAGTCAAGAAGCAGTTCCAATACTCTGTCAGTGGTAATTTCAACATGCTCTAATGGACAGGGGTGACAGAGAGTGTCCTCAACAGCTAATGGCACCTCCGTCGTATACACAGAAGAATATTGCGAAGCTAGTAGACAAGCTTTCGCCATGTCATCATGAAGTATGGTGTCCTCTTTGCTTGAATACATTGCGGGTATACCGTTGCCAGCTTTGGTACTTCTTTTTAAGTATGCGAAAGGCTTTTTCGGATTAACCACAGATTGCTCGGCCGGAAGGTGCTCATATAGTTCTCGCTTCCCGCGCTTTCTCAGCATGTATGTAATCTCAGCGGTCTAGTAACTAGACATAGAGCCAATAAAAACCATGGAAATCAGTGGATAGGAGAGTCATTGCGTTATAATCATCGTGCATGCTAGTTGAGGTGGCAACACACTTCAGCTAATATGCCGCAAGAAAATGGAATATTTTGACAAAAACAGAACAAACATTTTAGTTTGTTGTCACACGCCAAATTTCTCTTTTATTGTCATTTCAATGTTGGTAGTATTAAACATGTGAATCAATGCAACACTGTACACAATTCTTCCACTGATTCCGGTTGCGAGCCATGTCTTCAAGAGTCCTAAGCCATTGGCACTCCCGTCGCAACGAGACTGGACCTTAACGTGGTGCGACGGTTTGCGTACCTCATTGACCCATTGAGCTATACTGGGTGATGCCTCCGAGCATCTTGAGAGCTACTCCTACCAGGTTGGTCAATGGTGAGAGGTCAGACAAACTCAGTCTCCTGGTCCTCCAGGTTGGGGGTTTGAAATGGGATGGCGTCCATTTCTGTAAAACTATATCACTGCCACCCCGCTGCCTTGCGGACAGGCTTTTGAGCCAAAGGCTTTGGATGAGGACCCTAATCGTTCTCCTGTCTAGGTCTGGGCGCAATGGCAGTATCCCAGCCCACATACAACCATGACATTTGCTTTAAACATAAACTTCATCCTGCATCGGCCGTCGCGCAGATTATCAAGCGTCGCCTTATCTGCTGCATACAGCAGGGCGGAGAAGCAAAAACATGCTACTGCTGGCGCCTCCCTTCTTTCTTTTCCACCTTTTTCTCTTACTCCCATCCCGGCCCCCATTACTAACCTTCCTTCTATAATTCCCAGCTTAATTGACAGCAACCGAAGTGCTACTGGAGTAGTACCGTCTGCGGCCACCATCCCACAGCACCTATCGGGCGCCTATCGGCAAAAGTCCCTTATAAGGCCACGCTGTCCCGTTTCTATGGCGACATTCAACGTTCGCACTCTAAGACAAACAGGCCAGCAGGCTGCACTCGCACGCACCTTGGATACACTGGGTGTTGATGTGTGTTGTGTGTCCGAAACTAGGATTAATGACCCTAACGGGG